CATTCTAAGATGTGAGTTCTGGGAAAAGGACTTGTCACATTCTTTGCATTTGTAAGGTCTCTCTCCAGTATGAACTCTCTGGTGATTTCTAAGATCTGAATCCCAGGTAAAGGACTTGTCACATTCCAGACATTTATAAGGTTTTTCCCCAGTGTGAACTCTCTGATGTGCTCTAAGTTGTGAGTTCCGGGTAAAGGACTTGTCACATTCTTTGCATTTGTAAGGTCTCTCTCCAGTGTGAACTCTCTGATGTTTTCTAAGTTCTGAATTCCTGGTAAAGGATATATCACATTCCATACACTTGTAAGGTCTGTCTCCCGAGTGAACTCTCTGATGTGTTCTAAGTTGTGAGTTCCGGGTAAAGGACTTGTCACATTCCAGACATTTGTAAGGTCTCTCTCCAGTATGAACTCTCTGATGTCTTCTAAGTTTTGAGTTACAGCTAAAGGACTTGTCACATTCCAGACATTTGTAAGGTCTCTCTCCAGTGTGAACTCTCTGATGTGTTCTAAGTTGTGAGTTCCAGATAAAGGACTTGTTGCATTCCATACAATTGTAAGGTCTCTCTCCAGTATGAACTGTCTTATGTCTTCTAAACTGCAAATTCCAAGTTAAGGACTTGTCACTTTCCATACATATGTAAGGTTTCTCCAACGAATGAAGGCTTTGGTGTATTTTACAACTGGAATGCTGGGTGAATGATTTTTCACTAATGTTGCTCTGGCAATGTTTAATTCCAGTAGGAATTCTTTCATGATCCGTGAGATAGCAAGCAGTCCTGAAGCATTTCTTGTATTTCCCACACTGGTGTGGATTTTCTTCAATGTAGATTGGGTGTTGCACAAGACTGTATACAGAGCTCAAAGAGTCCTCACCTTCTTCCTGCCTGTGCTCTTTTTTTGCAATGTAGACTGTCTGATCTTGAAGAATGTCAGAACACAAATTTAAAGATTCCTCACTGTCTTTAGATCGGCAAGGTTCTCCTGCATTTTGCATGCTTTCATGTCTGTCTGGGTTTGATGAGTCATCAGAGGCATCCCTGTGGTTACTGAATGTGTAATTATTAGAATTTTCTGTAGTTTCACTTGTTCTATAAAGTGCACATGTGGAGGGGTCACGAAGCACTTTTCCAGGCTCATTACACTGACAAGACTCCTTTTCAGTTTTCACATGCTGATGGACAGAATCACACTTGTAATAGTTCTCTGAAAATGAGAAAACTTCAGATTAATAGGGTTTGTTCCAATAATATGCAATGAATGACTGTCTCCCTAAGTTGTCGTTTAACATAAGTGAACTTGGAACTATTGGGGTTAGAGTTCCCAGTAATGGACAGTTTTTCACTCACTGTAATTGCATGGATTCTCTCAAACACAGCATGACAGCCTTCAAAGGTCAGTGAGTTACAAAAGGTATCTCATCTTTCTCAAAATTCTCTAACTGGAAAAAGATGGAAAAATAATTGATGGCCACAAATTAGATTTCTGTTAGATCTCACTGAGGGATTATATTTAGAATATATGTCTCTATCTTTTAATATTTCTTCTCAGAAATTATGGATGAGGAACGTAATTCAATCCCAGGCTTACAGTATTTATACTTAGGCATAAATGTAAAGACAATATTCTGCCAGACATCACAGGCTTTTCCTCCTTTTAGGCAGGTCTGTCATGGGAACAAATTGCTCATTTCTGTCAGTTATTCTCAGAGTTCCACACACCACTGTGTTTCTTAACTTTCCTCACAGGGTTATCCTAAGGTCAAATCTGAGTCCTCAGATTATTTCCCATAGGATGTCTATGTATTCCAGACTGCGGATAAAATGAAGGATGTAATAGGAAGATGTGTATACAAGGTAATTACAGAATGACATTACTTCAAAATCCATGTTAGAATGAAAAGTTTCAAAGATTATTCCATTCCAGTTTCAGCAACGTAAAAATAAAACTGCATTTTTTTAGGTGTATTAAGTCACCACACTTTAGGTGTAATAAGACAGAAGGCCTTCTGACAGTTATTACAACAGATAGGATGCATCTTGGGGAGTCCAGCAAGTGGAATTGAGGATCTGAAAAACATTCTCATCTATTGCTTTCTCTTTTATTTTTTGTTGTTTTTTTTTATTTGTTTTTTCCAGACAGGGTTTCTCTGTGTAGCTTTGGAGCCTTTCCTGGCACTAACAGAGTACTGGATCAGTATATGAAAACATAAAACAGAGGAATTTAAATAAGTTTTCTGGATAGTTATGTCATGTCATATTCCTCAGTATATTTCATATTTGCCATGTTATTTATCTCAATTTATTCTCACAATTAAAAATATGTGTACTGCAATAATGGACAAGGAGTTTTAAGATATTAGTGGGAATGGTATATGTTCCTGAGTCTATGGATGAATCTTGGAACGAAAATAGTTAGTGGAATACAAATTGGAAGAGAAACCTAAATATCATGAAAATATCTTCCAAACTGCTAAATCTGCCATGTCTCCTGTTTGTTTTCTTTCAGGACAGCTTAAAAGATTTTACAACCAGGGCTGGAGAGATGGCTCAGAGGTTAAGAGCACCGACTGCTCTTCCAGAGGTCCTGAGTTCAATTCCCAGCAACCACATGGTGGCTCACAGCCACCTGTAATGAGATCTGGCGCCCTCTTCTGGTGTGCAGATATACATGGAAGCAGAATGTTGTATACATAATAAATAAATAAAATCTTTAAAATAAAAAAAGATTTTTACAACCTCTCAAAAGAAACAAAAGGTAGTTTGATAATTCAACAAGCAAAATATTCTCACCCACAGACAGCAGGTTGCTGTAATTCTCCAACATCACATCAATGTACAAAGCCCTCTGACCAGAGTCCAGGCATTCCCACTCCTCCTGGGAGAAGTTCACTGCTACATCACTGAATGTCAACACACCCTGAAATAAAAATTATGGTTTGACCAAATGCTATTTGGATGTCCTTTCCTGGATATAAGGACACAGATTTAGAGGAGCTAAGAGAACTAGTCAAAAATATGATTTCTCAATATATTCATATTCTATCATGAATGATATAACTCTGTTAAAACAGGAGGAAAAGACAGTCTTACAAGCAGTATACATGATACAACAAATAAATTTAAGGTCTAGTCATGGTTATCTCTCTGTTATGGATGTGTTGTTTATGTCACATAGGATCCCATTGTACATGTCTCTGCTTTAAATGCTGTACTTGAAGATCATGCTAAAATACTGACACTTATCAATCCTGTCTGTATTTGTGCCTTACATGACTCTATCCTAACAGACCCAGGAGGGATGTTTACACTCTAGGTCCAATGACACACCCTTGGAAAGAGGAAGGTATAGCTTGTATAGCATGCAGAATATATGACTGATTTTTACAAAGAAGACTTTTGGAAATGAAATTGCAAATCAACAAATGGACTAAGCAGACACTTTTCAAAGACAGAAAATCTATCAGACAATAAACATTGAAAAAGTGCTCAGGATCTCAAAAAGGTCACCATGGAAATGTAAATTACAACTACTTGGATATACTAACTCTCACCATACACAATGGCTATCATCAACTAAACTGACAATAAAGGTGAGATGGCATAGGGAGAGAAAAGAAGCCTTATTCACTATTGATGGAGGGGAGGGTGTAAATTAATATAGCTATTGTGGGAAACAGCTTGGAGATTACTGAAAAACATTGAAGACAGAACTAACATACGACACAGCTATTGCACTCCTGGTCATATACACAGAGAAAAACACATGCACACCCACCTCCACACCCCCCCCACTATAGAGATATTTATACCTCATCTTTACTGCTGTTTTTCATCATTAAAGGGAAAGTAGTAGAATTAAAGCTTCATGTATCAACACATGAATGAAAGTATGATGAGAATTTTATAAAACTTTGTGCATTTCAGCTCAAGAGAAAAAGCAAAAATTTGCAGGAAATGGACAGACCCATGGTGTGTAATATTCAGCGCAGTCATTACTTTCAGAAAGAAAATGCCATGTTTTTGCTCGCGTGCATTATCTCCCAATCACATGTGTATATAGATACAATGCTAATGTGGACACCGTATAACTTGGAGAAAAGAGACCAGGAAGGTTAAATTATCAGGGACTGAATGCAGAAACGAACTCCAGTTATGGAAAAGTTACTTAAGCTAAGAGATTTTCTGGTTCTAATTATGTCAAAGGTTTTTGGTGTTTGGGTGGTGGATAAGGAAATCAAAATTTATTCAGTTGTGAAACATAAAATCCAATGTGAGGATCTAGACCTTCTGCGCCCTGTGAGGACTCTGGCAGTATAGGCTACATTGAGTTTTATAGATTTTGTGTTGCTTATTGCAATGTGTGATTTTATTGTTCTCTGTTCATAGAATTGATCCTGATTAAAACTTTAAAAATTCTCAGAAGGAAAATAATCAAAGATTTTTAATATATCAAAGTAGAGAATGTTTAGATAGAGAATGGAATGGACCACTGACCTGTGATATATCTACTGGAGAATTAGCCATTTCTTTCTGTTTTTCTTCTTTGAGTTTCTCTTTCAGGAACAATGAATACATGGATCACTTCCCTATAAAATAAAGGGTCAGAATGTAGGAGTAATACTGAAACCTGTTAGAGAATAATGTCAAACCACATGAAAAGACCCAAGAAAGAGAATATGACCAGGTGTCTGGTCAATGATTCTAAACCCAGCACCATCAAGCATCTTGAAGCACAAAGAACACTACTCTGTTAAAACTTATGGAGACCAAGCTAATCACCAACAACACAATTGATTTCATTAAATAAACACTGTAAATAATAACTTACAGGCAAAAGAGGCACAGGAGAATCAGGGGTATCTTCCATGAGATCATGGGAAATAATTAGTTTCATGGGAAGAAATATGAAGAATAGATAACTGGAAAGACAAAATCCATGAGCAAGATAGCAAACCACTATTTCTCAAAAAGACAAAAGATGACTATTACCAAAAAATCCAACAGCAACAACAGAATAGCAAAACCAGAGAATATAAAAGGGACATGAACAAAAACTATCCACACTTAAAATCAAAATAGAGAATCCTCAAATAAACAAACCCTCAAAGACTAGACATTGTACTTCACAGATAATGGGCCAACAATGCTCACAGTTGCTCTGCACACAAGAGCTACAAAATGGAAACAACTTAAATGTCTCTGAACTGGATGAATGGATGGTGAAAGTGTGGTACATATACACTATGGAATACTATTCAGCTGTAAAGAAAAAAGAAATAATGCCCTTTGCAAGTAAACAGACAGACTTGGAAAAGATCATATTGACTGAGGTAACCCAGACCCAGAAAGAGAGACAATTCATGTTCTTTCTCATAGGAAGTTACTACCTCCACATCTTCAGATGTGAGTCCACAACCTAGAGTGACTGCAGTAACCAGAAAAGTAACAAGACAGTACTGTGTTAGGGATTGTTAGTGATGCGGTAACAGGGAACAAGTGATTGAAGGGGAAAATGCAAAAACAGTGGTGAGGATTTAATTATGGACAAACAGCTGGATATAAACACAGAAGAATGGTAAAAGAATAGTAAAGGTGTCTGGAAATTTCATAGGGTAGCCACCTGTTCCTTCACTATTATCCATCAATGTGGAGATACCTTCCTGGTACAAATAAAGCCTGTCTAAGGACAGAGAATGGAGCTACGTGTTGGTGGTGCAGACTTATAATCCTACCAATAGGGAGTTAGAGGAAGGTGGATCTCTGAGTTGGAAGCCATCATGATCTATACAGCGAGGTCCAGGACAGCTAGGTCTACATAGAAAAACCCTGTTTTGGAAAAAAAATCATTTCTACTCAGATGGGACACCGGATCTCATTTTAGATATTTGTAAACCACCATGCAGTTACTGGGAATTTAATTCAGGACATCTGGAAGAGCAGCCAGTGCTAGTAACCTCTGAGCCATCTCTTTAGTCCTCACTCCCTGTATTTGAGGAAAATGCTGAGAGATCAAAGAACAAAAAATTCACAGCCACACCTTGCCTCCTTAGCCTCTCAGCAGTCAAGAGGAAGCTCCTGTTTGTCCCCGCTTATATGCCATTTACACCCAGCCATATCACTTCCCTGTCCATCTCTCCAGACCTATATGTTTAGCTAGTGGCAAGCTCCATTCTCTGCCCTTCAGACTGGCTTTATTTGTACAAGCAAGATTATCACCACACATCAACAAAAAATGCCTATGATACCTATAAGTCTCTATAAGCAAGTAAAGTTGGAGAATAAATAATGATTTTGTAAACGCAATATAGATGTTCCTCACAAGAGCCACAGAATTTCCACCAAAACAACCAACACCAGGTGTAGCATACCTGCTTTGAACTTGTTGGGCACAGTTGTCAAAGAGAATTCTAAACATTACAGGGTATTGCTGTTGCACATGGTTGCCTCCCAGAGGAAGAAGTTAAGTACCTAGTGTTGAAGAAGCCACACAATTCCTAAAGGACTTGAGATTCAGCTTATTTTCAGGTTTGCTGCCTGGCAACAACCTTTCATGGTATCAGAAGGCAACATGAAACCATCCCAAGAACAGTGCCTAACAACAGTCCTACTCAGCTGTGAAACCTCTGAACCAAAACAATGCACTCTGCATGATAGCCCTAAGGGTGCAAGGGTGGCACACATACCTCAGAGGTAACCCAACATATTCTAATTGGACTAAGACACTCTCAACAAGAGAAAACACATGCCTGGTACTGGAAACCTACCCACGTCTCCAGGTCTAGGAAAGGCATGGATCTTGGAAGAGAAACTATAACCACTATTTTACTGCAACAAACTGCCAAGATCACACAGTAAGTAT